GACTCCCGCCCGCCCGCAGGGTGCAGCGCTGAGCACCGTCTGTCCGGAGGGCTCCTCGGGTCCCTGCCCGGCGGGTGCAGCGCTGAGCACCGTCTGTCCGGAGGGCTCCTGGGTCCCCGCCGGGTGAGTGCAGCGCCGAGCACGGCCCCGTCCGTCCGGGCAGCTCCCCGGGTCCCCACCAGCCAGGCAGTGCCCATCCCTGCAGCCTCGGGGACTGGAGGCTCTGGGCTTCCCCGTCTCGGCCTGTCCAGTCTCCGCAGGGAGGGAGCTCCCCCCGGGCCACACTCCGTGCCCACCCTACCGTGCTCTGGCACCCAGCCCTTCCCTTGGGCTTTGCCCGGGCAAACATCCCGTGTGCAGGTGATCTCCTGCTCCCTGCACCCTTGGCTCTCTCTGGAAACACCTTGCACACTTGGCCCCACGCCTGGAGCCCTATAAGCGCCAGCTGCCTGGCACGACCGCCAGCAGCGCCAGCTAACAGCAGCCGTGGTCTCCCCAGAGGCCGCTGCTGGTGGCGGCGCCGCCACTCCGGGCCTTCCTGGAGCGGCACTGCCCCATCGTGTGCGAGACCTTCTACCCCACACCCTGGTGCTTCGAGGGCCGGCTCCAGACCCTGCTCCGGCACATCCTCTTGTCCGAGCCCCCGGTCTTGTACCGCAGGTGAGTGGCGCCACAGTCCCTGGCACCCGAGGGACTCTGCTGTTGGCAGCCGTGCCCAGGGGCGAGGTGTGTGCCCACGCCCTGCCTCCTGCGGCCCAGGCCACTACGTGTCTGGGTATCCACGCGGTGCTCACACCCAGCGCTCAGGCGCTTCCTGCCCACTGCTCTGTGCAGCGAGCTGCTCCGCGTGGCGGACGGTGGGCAGCTGGTGCTGGACTGGGCCGACAACCCAGGGAGTCAGCGGTACCCAGACCCTAGCACGCGCCCCACGCTCCTGCTCCTGCCCGGTGCCACCAACAACAGCGAGGCCTCCTACGTCCTGCACTTGGTGCATGGACTGCTGCAGGTCGGCTACAGGTGAGGCTTGCCAAGATGGCCGCTGCATCTGCTGGCCCCCGCGCTCCGGGCCGCGGTGCTTCCCTGGCACCAGGGTGGATGCCTGAGCCTGCGCCCTCTCCGCAGGTGTGTGGTGCTCAACTGCCGCGGCTGCAAGGGGGACGAGCTGCTGGTGAGTGCCTGTCACCCCGTACATGCCTGGGCTGCCCTGGGCTGGGGGTGGGATCCTGGGCCAGGCCCCCCCAGCCCAGCGGAGGGTACAGCAGAAGAGATGGCCTGGTTCCCTCCTTGCATGCCTACGGGTGCTGGGAATGAGTCCCAGGGCTCTGCCATCCCCACTGCACCCCACCGGACCAGGCGGGATCAGAGCCAGACTGAGCAGTGCCTGGGCCTGGCTGCCTGCTGATGCCCCTTCCCCGGGCGGCTGTCCTGTGCCCCCTCTGCCTCCAGACCCCCAGAGCCTTCTCCGTTGCCAACACCGAGGACCTGGAGACCGCCATCGCCCACCTCCGGGCACAACTACCACGGGCCCCACTCCTGGCCATGGGCTTCTCCCTGGGTGGGTGAGGAGCAGGCAGGACCGTAGGGAGAGCTGCCTGGGTTGGGCCTGGGAAGGGGCCGATGCAGGCCCAGGAAAGGGTGCACAGGACAGCTGTGGTCGAGGTGGGGTGGGCATTGGTGGGGCCCCGCTCCCTGCAGGCGGGATGAGCCCTTGCTGCCCCTGGGCCCAGGGAAGGACAGATGGGCCATGTGACACACACGGGTGCCCCCAGGACGCTGCTTCTGCACCACCTGGCACGGACAGGCCACGCCGCAGGGCTGGAGGCTGCCGTGGCCATGTCTCCGCTCTGGGACTACGGGGAGTTCCTGAACTTGCTCGAGCAGTCCCTTCCCATGGTGGTCTTTCATGTGCCACTCTTGTACTTCGTGCGCAGGCTGGTCAAGAGGTGGGTAGGGGGCAGAGGCACCCAGCGGGGCGGGGGAACAGGTGGCCTGTGGGTTGCTGAGGGGCCAGGGAAATGTCCACGAGCTGCTGGGGTGGGGCTCTGGGCAGGATGGCATGGAGGCACTGAGGTATGGGAGGCCTTTAAATCACAGGGTGCTGGGCTGGCCACAGGGGACTGGGCATGTGCGGACTCCAGGGTTGCCAAACCAGAAAATTGTTTTTTGACTGAAACTGCAAGGTTTTTTACTGACAACTAAACTTGTTTACTGACACGCAGCTTTACTGCTGTACGTTTCCCATAATGTCAACCTAACTTCTGCCTGGTCCTGCCCTGCTACGGTACAAAGGGCTGGGTTTAGATTTAGGGGTTCAGTCTCCACCGTGGTAACAAAGTAAGGTTTGATTTCACCATAAACTTTTTACTGATCAAACCAATTCTTGTGTTGGGAACCCTGCTTGAACGCAGCGATGGTTTCACCTCCCTCCCCCCATAACCTGGGGCCTCCTACTCACCCCCATATCTTGATGCCCATGACTACCCCTCAGCCTTATCCCATCTCTGCTCCTCCCCAGTCCTGGCACAGACCGTCGAAGGAGCCTACTTGTGACTTGGCAGCATTGCAGGCAGCCTGGCGCAGCAGCAGCACGTGGCTGCTGGATGCTGCACTCCTGGAGACGCTGCTGTGCTCTGTCCATCAGAGCTCCAGCCCAGCAGAGGCTGCTTAGTATTTTTACTGAGGGCTCAAATTTTGTGTTGAAGAACTTCACTGATGGCCATATTTAGCCTTTTTTTTTTCATGGGCAACCAAGAAATTTACCAACATTTAGCAACCCTGGTGGACCCCCATGAAGCCAAGACTGGAGGACTTGGGAAGAGCTCTGTGAGACACAGGGTCTCGGGTGTGGAGGACCCCGTGTCAGCAGGGGAAGGAGGTTGGGGTGTCTGGGGCATTGCACTGGCCTGGCACTGACTGTGTGTCTGCTCCAGGCACAGGCAGGCAATTGCGGCACTGCTGGACGTGGACCAGGTCCTCAAGGTAGGGCCTGCCTTGCCCTACCCAACAACCCCTACCCCAGCACCCTCACCCCCCGCCCCGCCCCAGTGCTCATAGTGCCCTGACCCCTGCTCCCCCCAGGCTCGCACACTGCGGGAGATTGATGCACAATACACAGCACCCGCGTTCGGCTATGGGACTTGCGAGGAGTACGTGCGGGCAGCCAGCTCCATGTCCGGCGTGCTGGCCATCCGCGTGCCCCTGCTCTGCCTCAACGCGGCCGATGACCCCTTCTCCCCACTCCACAGTGAGGACCCCCTCCCTCGGGCAGCGGGACTGGGCCCTGCTCTGCTGGGGTTCGGGGCAGGGTGGGATGGGAGGGGGGGGACTAGACCAGGGGGAGGCGGAGCTGTGAGCTGAGGGCTGATTGGTTGTCGGTGCTGTCTTCCAGCCATCCCCATGGAGCTGCTGCGGCAGGTGCCCCATGTGGCCCTACTGATGTGGCCACGTGGGGGGCACGTAGGCTTCCAGGAGGGCCTGTTGCCATGCCGACACAACTTCCTGGTCCGCGTATGCATCCAGTTTGCTGCCGCGGTGCTGGAGCAGGGCGCGGAGCTGCGTGGCCTCAGGGGCGACCCGGGCACGGGGGCGGGAGCCCGCGTGTAGTGGCCGCCTGGGGTGCAGTGGGTGCGGGTGTTGGGGTCCTTGAACCGTCGGGGCCGCGCGTGTTGCTCTGGTGCTGCTCACGGATAAACTGGCTCCCAGGCGCTCCGGTCTGACTCTGGCGATAGCGAGGCAGGGGGACGGGTGGGTCTGCAGGGGCCGAGGCCGGTGCTGCCACCAGGCCGCTCAGAGCTTGGCTCGCAGGGCGCGGCTTTACATCTCTGCTGAGCCTCAGAGGCTGGTACCGCCCCGGGCAGGGGCACGAAGCCGCATCCAGCCCCTGTACGAAGCTGGCTGGGACTGGGGGCGGCTGGAGTAACGCCCCGTTCCTGGTTGCACGCTGCATTGCACGGCCTGCCACCGCCCTCAGCAACGCCGGTGCAGCAGCGTGCAGGCAGGAGGGCTGGATCCCACTCGTCCTGTCCCGCTCCAGACACCGCCGGGGAAGGACCCGGAGTCACCCTGGAGGCAACACCGGCGACACCTGGGCTCACGCTCCAGCCAGCCCTGGCCACGTGCCACTCGTGGCCCGGTGGGACGGGGGTGGGAGAGGTCCCAGAACAGGAGCAGGAGGCCAGGAACTGGGGCCTGGATCCGCCCCTGGCGTGGGGCCTGTTTCCCCAGGTCCGGCCCCACCCGCCTCAGCCTGGCGCGGACAACC